TTTTAGATTTATCCTTCTATCACCCACACAAATACTTCAGACATGGGAATGAATAAAAAAATGATGCCGGAAATGATATCAGCAACTTTTACCTCTTCGAAATTGACACATTGGACTCTGTCATAAGTCGTATCAAGAAGGATCAGAGAGTTCGGCTCATGCAATCATGCTTCACATATTTATTTATTTGAGATCACATCAGCACCCCACAGGTCGCGACGCCCCATCGAGCCAGCTGTGCCACCGATGACTTCTTCGGCTGAAGGAAGAATTTAAGGATGATTGGTTAGACTATGGTTTGATCTATTGAGTTCTGTTAGCTCTTTTCACAAGTGCTTTTCTCGGTGAATGACCCTTTACTACAACCCAGGCAAGGATGATTACTGAAACGCCCCAGGTGTTGAAACCAGGGTTACTTTCTTTGGATCTATTTAAGTCGTTCTCCACCTTGATCCCGATGTCAAGTAAGATATCTACCAGAGAGACTGCATGGTGCAAGATGTATTTGTTTGTGATCGGTGGCCATAGCTGTACCAGCACCATGGGTTGAAGTGAGTTTAGGGGCCAGAGGTAGAGATTGTTGGTGTGACGGTGGGGTGAAAACATTAACAGTGAGCATCAGGTGAGGAATCTGGATTTGCTACTCAAAGCATATCCCACCGTGTATTGCATCTAATATGTATATATATATATATAAAGGAATGCTTTCAAGCTAAGTCTCTCACCGATTAAACACATAACATTTTATGAGAAGTTGTTGATAAAGTCTACAACTCATTACCACCCTTCAAATAAGTGGTTTTCTCATTTTCTAGAAAGTTAAATCTTACAACCTAATACCAGGCTATAGCTCCCCACCATTCAGACAGGTAGCCTTTTCATTTTTCTAGAAAGATAGGCACATTGCATTTTCTGAAAAGTTGTTGCTAAAACCCACAATCCACTATCACCATTTTCAACCCATTCCTAAAAAATGAAGAAAATGCAAAAGTAGCTATCCACGGTCTATCAATCTCAATTAATCATTAACCCTAGAAAACTATCCATATTCTAATAATTTTTGAAAAATTATTTTTTGAAATAAACATTTCTTAAAATTTTAATAATTATTTAAAATATTAATAAATATAAATATAACAGAATTGATTTCATAGTGTAAATTTAACATTATTGATTCCCTGTACTTAGTACGGGGTCATTCACTAATGTATGTATTAAAACAGAATGGTCTGATGTGGCATTTTTCATTTTTCTCATTTTTCTGATTTTATATTTTTCTAATTCTACATAATTCCACGTAACTTTTCAAGCCTTTTAAACACCTCTTGAGAGAATTAAGATCTTCTCCTTACACAGACTTTACAGGCACATCAAGTCGTGTATTGGAAACATCTTCCATGAAAAGATAATAACACAATACATGGTGATGTGCCTGCGTGGTTGGGGTGAGGTTGGTGTGAGATACTGAGATGTTCCCAATGACTCTTAGGCCCTGTTTTATTATTTGAATTGGATTGGCATTGGAAATAGTGTAGCTTTTCTGAGCCTTTAAAACACCTCAATAACTCTTAGGCCTTGTTTGATTGGCGGGAATAAGGGTTTGGAATTAGAATCAGAATCAATATCAGAATGGGCTATTCCAATTCCAACTGTTCGGTTGAGTAGAATAAGAATCTCATTTTCATTCCTACTGGAATGGCATTCCCTAATTTGAGGGAATGGTCATTTCATGCCCCTCCTTTTGGAATGAAATTCTATCCCTCCTTATTCTAATTCTCATTCCCATTCTTATGTGAACTAAACAAACCATGAGAATGGACCACTCCGGTTCTGATTCTGAAAGATTATGATTTCGATCCATATACAAACCAAACGGACCCTTAGATTTTTTTAGTGTAAAACCTGAAACGGCTCTCACTTCTTCCTCTCCTCCCACTCTCTTCACCCGGATTATACTTACCTTAAATTTTATTTATTTTTTTATATAAACTCCTTTCTGTTTCTGCACAGCATGTGGGTCCCGTGTGGTAATATATCGAACCTGTGTAAAGTACGGGTAACATAATAAGTATATATTAGTAATAAATAAATATATAACGTTAATTAAAATTTTAATTAAAAAATTATTATTTATCTAAGAGCGATAGTTCATTCAAATATTTGTAGATTAATAACCAATTAAAATTAATAAATATCAATCATCTAATTAATAAAAATAATAGGAACTAATAGTTTTTAAACTTAGTTTGTTATTTAAAATTTATTTAAAAATTAAAAAATAACAAAACTTTATCTAACAATATAACTCAAAAATAATGTTTCAATTGGACTTAGACCGATTCAGCATAATTGGGAATGATACAAACTTTAATTTTGCTTAACAAAGCTCCTTTTATTTTATTTTGAAAATAATAAAAATTAATAAATATTTTTAAGAATAATTTTTAATTTAAAATTATAATTAATAACAAATAAAGTTCTTTTAAATTCGATTTAAAATACTCAAAATTTATAAAAAAAATTAAATACAAATCCATTTAATAGAGTTTATATAACGATATGTAATATAAAAATAATGCTTGGTTGGATTTAAACCGACTTGGCCCAATTGGAAATGTTATCAGGTTCCTTTGACAACAATTTCGTTAAACAAAATCCGTACATCACACGGATCCCGACTAATTTGTGTGTATTGGGAACAGCTTCCATGAATAACAACACACAAGTATGGGAGATGTTCCCGGTGCGCTTGGGACGTGTTGTGAGGTCAGTATGATGAGCGCTATGCGAAGAGCAGATTTGGACTAGCAAGGAAGAGGTAAAGCAAAGAGGTTAAAAGTGACAAGTGAGAGAAAGATGGGTTAGGAATGCAAAGAAAATAAAATTTAATAGAATAATAAAACAAATATTGAGCTCTTGTCTATTTTAATTTTTATGTGGTTGACAAATGAGAATGATTTTAACGTGAGAAGGTTGACATGGAGATGTATAATTGGGTGGAAACCACAAAAAATAATTTTTATTTTTGGGTTAGTTTTAAATGTGTATTTCATTTCAATATCAACAATACTATTTCTAAATTATTAGAAATGGACCCAATTTTTTGTATATTTTATTTATTTCAAATTTGATAGTTTTTATTTCATTATGACATCATGGAATGGCCCATTTGACTTGACTAATTGAATTGCTTAATCGCCACTATGATGAAAAAACAATTCTTTTTTGGGTCAATTTTAAACACATGTATTTTACAACATTAAAGGTATTGGATATCGATCTAAATGATAGAATTTATTTATTCATTTTGGGTCCATTTGGTTTCCTGAAATTTGAATTGAAACAACGCATTCCGATTTCATCTGTTTGTTAAGTAGGAATGGAATTTCAATTCACATTCTTGGGGAATGGGATTCCCATTCAGAGTATGTTAAGAACTCATGACATAAAGTCAAAAATTCTTTAAACTCTAATATTAATTAATAATAAGATAAAAATAATCATAAATAAAACAAAAATTCTTAATAAACTATTAACAAAATACTGTAATATAGTAATAAAATAATAGTACTATAATAAAATATTAATAAATTAATAATAACAAACAATATTAATTATTAAATATAATAACAATAAAGTATACATAAAATATTAATACAATATAATTAAAGTAACAATATAATAATAATACCATATTAATAAACAATTCATGAAATAATAATAAAACACTAATAATTAAATGATCAATTATTGTGAAAGTAATAATACGATAATAGTAATATTAGAATATATTAATAATTAAAATATTAATAAAATAATAGTACAATAATAATATATTAATAAATTAACAATAAAAGGCAATGATATTATTTATTAAATAACAATAATAAATGCATATAAAATATTAATACAATACAATTAAAGTAATAATAAACTACTAGCATATGAATTATTAAATAATAATAATAAAATAATTTTAAAATAATAACAAATATAATATAAGAAAATAATAATAAATATAATAATATAATATATTATTAATAAAATACAACAATAGTAGTAATAATAAAATAATAATAACAAAGTACTAATAAAATAACAATTATATATTCCTAAAATGTTAATAAAATAATAAATAGATTAATGCAAAATTAAAAATTTTCTATTGATTCCAATTCCAAATAAACCAAAGAACAACAATTGGAATCTGATTCCTATTCCCAACTGAACCAAACAAGTGTCATGAATATGTGATTATAACTCCAATTCTTAGGGTTTCCGATTCCAATTCCAATCATCTCTACAAACCAAACAGATTATTTTCTTTTGTAAAAATAATAGCTTAAACAGAATAGAAGTTAATACCACAAATATAAATATAAGACTTAAATAGAGAGAATTAAATGAGGAGAATTGTAGTTCAAACTTCAAATTACATTTTGTGCCCTCACAATTGGAAAAAGACCAAATTCAAAAATGAAGGGTATTCTAATTAAATAAAATTCAATGAATATTAACAGGAACTTATAACTTAAATATAAGTATTAATGTGAAAATTTTAAATGATAAAAATGGTTATTCAAATTACATTTTTATCCTTACAATTAGACATGAACCAAATTCAAAAGTATAATTTACAGATAAAACCTCCTCTCTCATTCACAGTTTTAATAGTAATATAGATTTTTTATAGCGACTGTCCTCTCAATTGGCTTCTGCAAATATTAGCCAATCATCTATTATAAAAGTCATTCTGTTTTATATGTATACTTGGTTTGAAGGGGTTAAGATCCATTCACTAGAACCCTAATTCATGAAGTTGCACACTTCATTATCCAATTTATCCATTTTAATGAAATCCCATTGTTATCATAGCACTTCTTATAAAATTTGATTTCAACTTATCATAGGCATTTTCCATAATTATTTTGTAGGTCACTATCCCTATTTTCCTTTTTCTTTGTAAGTGAAAGTTCAGACATTGAATATCTTATAGTACATGATGCAACACAACCCTACGGGAAACATTAAAGAAAAAGAAAAGATCGAGTACAAGAGGGGGGAGGGGGTTTATATGGTTAAGCCCAAAATCATGGAAACTCCAGCGGTTTTCAGTTTCTTTAGGCAACAAACGTTCCTCTAGCCTCTTCTATAGTTTATTCGTCAAATCAAATTACCACAAAATTTAAGCTACCTACTTTTTCACTTTAAAATCCTTTGGACCAACAAGATCTGAAGCACGCGAGTTCATTTCCGCCGATAAATTAATTGCCAACTCCAACTTCCCTGCCTTTTTCAAATTACTTATCAATGACCGATATACATAGATCGAAGGACAGATGCTTCTCCTTTTCATGTCAGTGAAGAGTCTTAATGATTCCTCAACATTCCCTAACCGCCCAAAGCTATCAATCAACGCAGTATAAGTTCGCAAATCTGGCTCTAGTCCCTTTTCAACTATTTCCTGTAAGAACATCAAGCACAAATCCAATCTGCCCACCTTCCGCGAGCTGTTTATTAAAGTGTTGTAAGAGACGATATCTGGGACCATACCAGCTTCTTTCATGGCTGCAAACTCGTGCAACATTTCATCTAGCCTACCTGCCTGTCCCAACATTGCTAAAACTGTATTATAAGTTATCACATCTGGCTTAAATTTCAGACTCTTCATTTGATCAAATATCAAGAGCGCTTTGTCAATATGCTTGTATTCAGCAAAGCCATAAATGATCCTGTTTATGACCGTTGCACTTCTTGGAAATGTTAGTTCTGATACTTCTCTTATGAAATCAAGTAAAAGTACAGAATCTGTTGCCTTTGAAAGGCCCTTGGCAAGATTAAAATACGAGATTGAACTCAAAGTTTGACAGGAGGCCAAGAAATCCTTGAATATCTGAGACAGAAGCTCAAAATCATTCCCTTCACCAGCGGCCCTCAAGAGGGTATTATATGTCTTTGCACTCAAGAATAACTGCTTATTACGTAGATGATGTAGTAATCTGGCAACATCCAATAGTTCTCCACCTCTGCAGAGCTTCTCAACATAAACAGTATAAATTTCCCTGCTGGAGACTGGATTATTTTCTGCTGTGGCAAGAATCATCTTGAAAGTTTCATCTGTCATCTGCTGATTATCAGGAGGCAGTACTTGTGTTACTACTGGTCGATGATTGCCAGAAGACCTACTCAGATTAGCATCGAACAGGCAGAAGTTGTTGGCCCATATTTTCTTCAATGGGTAAAATCCAGAAGTTCAAAGATTAAGTCAGTAATTGTTAGCAGACAAGAAAAAGTCGATATAAATTTTACAAAATTAAACAGGTATTAATTGACAGGTCAATCTCTTGGAAAGCCACATCTAAAAATTATAACATCCTTAAATTTTTTTGATAAATTACATCCCTAAATTGTTGCCATATTTTTATCAATCATCCAATCATCCCCCATTCCCTGTTTGCATAATTACCAGATCTTTGTAGATTTAGAACTATGCAGGAGTGGAGCTATGAATTTATTACAATAAATTTCTCTATAAATTCCATTAGATAGAAATTAGAGGTAAGTGCCTGTTTGGGAGGGCTGAGCTATTCAGCTAAGCTGGTTCAGCTGCTTTAAAGCACTACAGATAAGCTATTTAGGGGTTGAAGCAGACATCCCTTCATATGACTGACTGACAGCCGATTTAGGCTCTGATTTCTCACCAAATATAGCTTTGAAAGTCAGAAGCCACTGCAGTCCAGCCCTCCTAAACAAACACTGATTCACCTAGTTGCCATTCTCATACATCTAATCTTTTTGTTTTTTTTTTTTCATTTTCATTCAAACCCAAATTCCAAACTTAAGTAAGCCTTGTCCCAAAACCAGTGTATAAAAAGAATGAAGTTGATGAAGCAATAGAAGCAACTGAAAATCTGTCGAGGGTGCAAATAGGCCGAGGAGAAGTGCATATACGGTGTATACACGTGCAAATAGAAGCGGAGGTAGAGGTGGTCGTAGAAGAGGCGATGGTAGAGGACAAGACAAAGGAAAGAGTGTTGTGCAAGAAGAAGATGAAGACTCAATGTGGGATAGAAACATCGAGGATGAAGATGAAGTCGGAGAGCTTGATGGGGAAGATGAAGACGATGAAGATGCGGATGATGCTGATTGTGCTGTTGATGATGTTGGTGGATTTAGTGGAGGGGTTGCGGGCTCTTATTACCTAGATACTAAAATTAGCTAGATACTTTTTTTATCGATAAATTAGCTAGATACTTTTCTTTATTGGTCATCTATAAACTCCATGTTTTGTGGAGATTTTGGAGAATTGGATAAGTGCCATATTTATTTTTTGTTATGGTTTTATTCATTGCTTGATTTGGTTCCTACTTCCTTTAAATGCCTAGAATAGATAAATTTCAACCAAGGTATGTCATATGTGTTTGATTTGATTCCTATTATTATTTGTTCACTTATTGTAAGTTTACAATGCTTTTTGTTTAATTTATTAATGATTTTTGTGCATGTGTTGAAGGAAAAGTTAGAAAAGAGAGCACTCAAGGACAATGCTCAACATTCACTTCAAAGTCAAAGGTATGTCTTTGACTCTTTGTGAATTTAAATTTCTTTAGTATTTAACTATTTATTACTTTATTAGTTTATTTTTTTAGTGTAGTTGCCTTGCCTAGTTGGTTTAGACTCCTTTTTATTGATAATATTTTTTATATTTTTAGCTTTTTATATGAAATTTGTACTCATTTGAATGATTTATAGTGTTAATAATTAGTGTAAATGATTGCTAGTTAACACACAAAACCAATAAAATGACTTAGAAAAGAATATATAGAGTAAAAACTCAATAAAACAAGCATTTTAAAATTCCAGCGCCTAGGCGTCTGGGCGCCCTGTGGTCGCCTAGCCTCGCCTAGGCGTCTGGGCGCCCTGTGGTCRCCTAGCCTCGCCTAGGCGTCTGGGCGCCCTGTGGTCRCCTAGCCTCGCCTAGGCGTCTGGGCGCCCTGTGGTCRCCTAGCCTCGCCTAGGCGTCTGGGCGCCCTGTGGTCGCCTAGCCTCGCCTAGGCACCTTGAAAACTATGTAGCTATGGACATTGATTGCACCTCAGACTTTAGGCCTACTGCATTACACATATTAGGCCTTACATGCACTTCTTCTGAATGTGAGCGCAACTGAAGCACTTTTGAGCATGTAAGTTCTAAGTAATGGACCTAATGGTTGGTTTTGTGATAAAATTATTTATGAAAGTTAAGATACTTATTTTTATAATTTTTCTTATTTTGTTGTGAATGTAGATTCATACAAAAAAGAGGAATAGGCTTGATCAAAAGAGGCTCAATGATCTTGTAATTGTTCAATGCAACCAACGCCTCCAAGAAAGATTTACAACAAGGCGTGCAAATCCAAAGCAATTTGACCCTATTTGCTTTGATGATGTAGATGAAACCAATGAGTGCTTGACTAGGAAAGACCCCTCAAATGTCTTGGTCTATGAAGGGTGTGATCTTACATGGACTCAAGTTGATGAAGCATTAAGGGCATCTGAAATCCTTGAAGGGTCAAAGAGATCAAGGAGAAGTGGACATGGACGTGGAAATGCAAGTGGGGGACCTAGAAGTTCAAGTAGAGGTAGAGGTGGTCGTGGGAAAAGTGAGTATGGAAGACAAGATAAAGGCAAAAGTGTTGTTCAAGAAGAAAAAGAAGACCCGATGTGGGACAAAGATATGGAAGATTATGAAGATGAAGAAGATATAGATGTTGAAGATGATCATGTTGATGATGATGAAGATGAAGATGTTGATTATGGTGCTAATGATGTTGGTGCATTCAATGGAGGTGTTGGTGGTTCTTACTTCTTAGACACTCCAATTAATTAGAGAATAGAGAATTTTCTTTAAGAATTGTATCTATGATACATTTAGAGTTTTCAACTTCATATTTATTTTTTGTGGACTTGTGGAGATGAATGATGATTTATAGTTTTATACTTATTCATTATATGCTATTATGCTTTTTATTTTTTAATGGTTTCATGACTTTCATAGTTTCATCTTATTATTTCTTAAAGTACCAAGCATCAACCAAGATATGTATTTTAATCCTTAAAGGATTGATATTGAATTCTTATGAATATTTTTATTTTTGTTGTAGTGCTTCTTCTTCCATTTGTTAATGATAAGGTTGATTTCTTATTGATTGATTAGTTCTTTTAATTTGTTTTCTTATTTAAGGTATGGTACTATGGTTCTATGGTACTATGGTATGGTACTATGGTTCTATCTTCTATGAAACTAAATTTTTTAATTATTAGTTTTTTTACTTTTTTAGTGTTGCCAACTTGGAACTCGCCTTGACAACTATGGTTGGAGTTAACTGAATCAGTTACATTGAAGGCAAGTTATTATAATTCTGTTGTAAATCAGTTACATTGAAGGCAAGATTGAATATAAATACAGAGGTGTACTTACAAAAAGAAGATTTGATTTCTTTCTCTTTTCACTCTCACTTTCCCCTATTCTAGAGGTTATCCTCCCTCAAAGAGGATCTGAGTTGGGCAGCTACCCAACAATTGGTATCAGAACCTGCAACAAGCAACACCATGCCGAGTACAAGATCAGAAACTGTGGATGATCAGACGGATCACATGGAGGTCCATCTGCACAAGACCACAAGAGACTTACGAGAAATCAAGCAGACACTAGCCATGTTGATGATGCAAATGGAGAAAAATTAGACAGAAGGAAACCACGATGGTGACCAAGAAGGAAATAGCAGAAATCAAGGGGGCGGTTAGCGTGGTCTGGCCTCAACTCGTTCAGCAAAACTGGATTTCCCAAAATATTCAGGTGAGGATCCCATACCCTGGATCTTTAGGGCAGAAAGATATTTTGAATACCACAATACACCTAGCCATCAAAGAGTTCTTGTCGCTTCATTCAACCTGGAAGGAGAAGTGATCTTGCGTTTCCAATGGTTCCGGCGAACCCATCCACAAGTTTCTTGGTCAGAATTCATAGAAGCTTTGTGCATCCACTTTGGACCCACTAGCTTTGAAAACTATGATGAGAATCTCTCAAAACTCAGACAAACTGGATCTGTGAGGGATTACCAAATCGAGTTCAAAAGACTGTCGACAAGGGTTCATGGGTGGCTTGGTTGCTTCATCAGCAGCCTAAAGGAAGAAATAAGAATAGAAGTGAAGTCCATCCAACCCACCTCCCTATCAGCGGCAATGGGTTAGGCAAGATTGCAAGAAGAAAGGTTTAATCGACTAAAAAGATTGGGTCGACCGAACACATTCAACTCTGGACCACAATCTTAGGTGTGCAGTGGCTACAATGGTTGCGATCGGTTGTATGTGATTGGTCAAGACTAACAATGGATTTCTCCATTAATGGACAAGTATCATCTGAACGGGTGGCTAAGGGTGCACCACAACAGGAAGGACTAAGAGCCATCCTCAAGACTAGTTGCAGTGAAGGGCAACCCCTCCTATTGCATATGGGATTGAATACCAGCCCAGTTTTAACAAGTCTAAAGGAAGCAACCACGCCACTGGAAAACCAACAAGCACTCCAGTGGTTACTCAACACCAATTCAGATGTCTTTCAAGAACCCATGGACCATAGAATTGAGATGGAGAAAATTGAGATCATCCCGGGGGCAGCTCCATCAAATGTTAGAACTTATCACTATCCCAGATTTCCGATGGAAGAGATGGAGAAAATTGTTCAAGAATTACTAGAGAAAAAATTCATACAGCCCAGTTCAAGCCCATATTCAGCACCCGTCCTTCTAGTCAAGAAAAAAGATGGAACATGGAGGTTTTGTGTAGACTATCAAGCTCTAAATCAGATCATAATAGAGGACCAGTTCCCCATTCCAATCATTGATGAGCTATTGGATGATTTACATGCTGCTACCATATTTTCTAAGCTTGATCTACGAGCCAACTACCATCAAATTCAAATGCATCCGGCAGATGTACCTAAAACGGCCTTTCGTACACATGATAAACACTATGAGTTTCTTGTCATTCCTTTCAGATTTACAAATGCACAGGCAACCGTTCAAGCCATCATGAATGAGGTATTCCATCCCCACTTGCACCGCTTTATTCTAGTCTTCTTTGATAATATCTTGGTATATAGTGTTGATTGGGCTTCTCATCTACAACAATTGTCTATCACTTTGGAACTTCTGAGAAAACACCAACTATATGCAAAGGCTACTAAATG